TTTATAGAAGTTATGAATTTTTTTTCAATTTTTTTGTAAAAAGTTTATAGGAGTTATGAATTTTTGTTTTTTTGTAAAAAAGTTTTAGTGGGGCCATGAATTTTCACTTTTTTGTAAAAAGTTTTGGGAGTTATAATTTTTCTTTTTACTTTTTTTACAAAAAGTTTATAGGAGTTGTGACTTTTTTTTACTTTTTTTGCATTTTTTTTTGAATAAAATTGCATAGCTCAGGTTTTAGTCTTACTTCTTTTTCAGGTGGTGGTGTATTTTTGGTGAGCATTATCATATTTATCATTGATATGTTGGTGCTACTGATGTGTATTGCATCATTTATCCTATGCTGTCGTGCGCTTCTTCGGGCTCATCTACTGAAACTAGTCAGTTTTTTTTTTTTTGAAATTTAAGAATTTCTATAATATTTGCAATTGCATCTATATAGAAACAATTATTTTGATTAGGGCTGACAATAACGAGGTATCATCGTTACCCTGTTTTTTCTTGAAAAAATTTTTACTTAGTAATTATTTTTTATGTATTTATATCAAATTCATGTGCATTAGCTTTTGCTAGCTTTATTTTTACGGTATTTTATTTCCAATTTTTTTATTTTAGTTTAATTTATTTTCAATTTTTATTTTTAGTTTTTTAAAATGTGCTCTGTATTTGAATTCGGTAAATTTAAGGAACTCTTTTCCGTTAGAATTTTTAGTTTTTCTCGAATTTTATGTTATTTTTTTTTAATTCAGGTTACCATGGAATTTGTGGAGACTGTGCTGAAACGCAAATTGAGTCTCAGCGATCGGTTGGAATTCCTTAATCTATGGTATTTGATGATTGTGACTAATGATATTTTCATAATACTGGGCACATTATGCAAAATTACTATTGAATTTAGGGTAAGTTATGTGAGTTTTCAGTATTTTTCCCTCACATTATCGTTTAGGGAAAAGTGAGGGAGTTATCTACAGTTTAAGTGATAAATCGTTTTTAAAAGTAGTTGAGTAATGCAGTCGATTATTTTCCTCTTCTGGAGAAAACTGGAAAATATGCTGATGAGGTATGAATACATATCGCGCGATAATAAACATATTACTGATGATATGTATAAAATAAAAAAATATATTAAAAAAATAATTAAAAAATGAACAGGAATGTTTAGATCCATT